GCGGGATCCGGAGTCCTCCATCCATGTACTGCTTGTTATTCTTCCGTTCATGAAACATGGAGATCTACACAGCTTCCTCAAAGCGACCCGCTATGGTGATGTTCCCATGGTTGGGGGATGATCTACATGTCTGTGTGGCTGACTTTGGCCTGTCTAAGAAGATCTATTCCAGTAACTACTATAGGCAGAAGAATATGGATGTTAACATGCCTGTAAGGTGGATGGCCATAGAGAGTCTGTCTGACTTCTTCTATACCACCAAGAGTGATGTGGTCAGTCCAATTTATGCTTCTAATACAGTATTTATACAGTACTTGTCAACAGTGTAATTCAGAGAATTGTTGTAAAATGCATCACTGTTTTTTCATAAGTTCAATTTGTATAATTACAAATACACTGGTGAAACTCCCAACACCTGTCAAATCAGAAGAAAAACAGTTTTTGCGCATAGAACATTGAGCACATTTCTGGCCCCAATTTTCATAACCTTACTGCAAAGTAAATAATAATAAAAACAAAATAAATCAAAAATGAACATTTGCTGAAATTTCACTTGCTCACCAATGCGTCTTCTGCAGTGAATGGGTGCCGTCAGAATGAGAGTCCAACCAGCTGATAAAAACATTATAGTAATCAACACAACTCCAATCCATCAACATCAATTCGTGAGGTTGAAAGCTGTGTGTCAAATCACTGAGACATCATTGAGATATTTTTAACTTCAAACCATTGGTTCAGGCTAAAATACGAGTTCTCTATCTATAATGTTGCCTTCTCCAGTAAAAATGTGTCTCGTCTAAATCAGGAGGGAAATGTTTCTTATCAATATGCAGTTTTTCACTTCACAGGACTTTAATTGATGGACTGGAGTTGTATAGATTACTTGTGGACTATTGTGATGTATTTATCAGCTGTTTGGACTCTCATTCTGACGGCACCCATTCACTGCAGAGGATCCACTGGTAGCAAGTGATGCAATGATACATTTCTTCAAATCTGATCTGATAGAGAAACAAACTCATCTACATTTTGAATGACATGAGGGTGTTATGTTTTTTAGCAAATTTTCATTTTTGGGGGTTGAACTATTCCTTTAATAAGAATCTAATTAGAATCATCAATGAGAATAATAAGAGATAAAAAAATAAAAAACTCAAACATTCAGTAAAACGCAAACTGTTTGGGTGGAAATGGTCCTAAAAATTGTTTTTTTTTTTAAATGTATGAAATACAGGTGCATCTCAATAAATTAG